ACAGTGGCAAGTGACATCCGATAAGGCAGTATGTCATAACACCCAACGAATCTAGGTTCATCCCTCTCCGAAGAGATAACAAAGTGAAGTATTTACTAGGATATAAATAGCAAAAGTTAAGTTTTTATTATCATAGTTCAGCAAACCGACATATTTATAACCAAACCAAAGCAACTTGTTTTACAAAAGTCATGTGCTTTGAATATCTTGGAATATGACATATTTTAGCAATTATGATACGTAGTAGAAAACTATTATCACGCCAACATAAAACTAACCCACCCTCAACTATCTGTCTTTACCAATTGCATCCGTGTTTTAACTGTCTAAGTACATCTATTTCAAGTTTTAAGATCATTTTGATGTTACTTTGAATACACATCTTATAATTTTGAGCAAAAGGATCATAACTATAATTTCAAAGAGAGATGACAAAGGAAATGTCTCCATCGCCACATGTGTGTTGTGAGCTAGGGTTTTGAGATCTACCTATCAGCCAGGGTTTCAAGATCTACCAGTCGGCAAGGGTTTTAAGGTTGTGTGGGTTTCTGGAGATAGGGCCACCATTGCCACCTGTACGCGAGAGAGAGAGAGAGAGAGAGAGAGAGAGAGTTGGTCGTCTATGAGAGAGATTCGATGAGATGTCGGTGGTGGAGCCGATGGTTTCAACTAATCCAGCAACGATGGTTTCAACTAATCCAGCGACGATGTTGGCCACCATGGCTTCGTCTTCTCCACCTTAATCCATCTTCGTCGGTGTCCAACCCAACACCACATCGAGATGTCTAGGGTTGTCGGAAGTTCTTGAAAGAGAAATAAAGAGAAAAGATTGTTGTACTTGTATCTTAAATTTGTTTCAATAAAAAAATAAAAATAAAAAATAAAAACCAAAAATAAACCAAGAAATTAAGTGAAAAATAAATGAAAATTTGACAATAGTCATTTCATCTTAGTTAGTTTTTTAAAATAAAGACCAAACATATCTTTTGTTTGTAATTTACTAAAAAAAGATATATTAAAAATAAAATAATTTTTTTTATCAAAATTGACGGAAGAAGTTCACAATCAAACTAACCCAAAATAACCACAGATGGTACCCAAAGCAATGAACAAATTAAAACCACATTGATCATTTTTGTAATTTCTCTTTAAAAAATAAAAACGTGACATAAAATTTTGAGATGAATACAACCCAATCTATGTTGACACAGTTCCATTTTGAGTTGTTTGTCAATTTCTTAATTTGATCGCTTGATTCCATATTAAATTGTTTTTACCAATTACTCGCTTTGTTGGCTCTTATCTCTCTTAATAAATGAAGGTTTTTTTGTTATGTGTCACCTTCTCATTCAATATGTCACATGACATTTTCTTAATTTTTTCAATTTAATTTATTTCCACTTGGCAAATTGTGGATTTTTTGGTATTCTATCAAATTAAAAAATATCATAAATTAATTAATACTACTAAAAAAACGTATACCATCTCTGACTCTTCTTATATACAAATAAAAAGGAAACATGAATATCCCCACGGTTTTGTCAAAAAACACAGTAAATCCAAATATCTCTTCCTAATCTCTTCCTAAATTACATACACAATTCTCGGAAATCACCACCCAATTTGATTTTTAATTGCAGAAACTTATCAAATTTCAATTCATTCTATTATTAATTTTCATATTCTTTCCAAATTCAATTTTGAAAAATATATACAGCTACAATCTCATTCATATGTCGACTTTTATTGAGAAAATGAAGATTTACAGCATCACCACGTTCATCATCATAGTCCATTATCGACAATATCTTCATCAGGTTAGCATATGTAATTATCGGTACAATTAGTGTTCTCTGTTAAATGATTTGATTCTTTTTTATTTGAATATTTGAAGATTTCATGTTTTAAACTTCTCCTTTCCATGATAATATCGAATTGTAGAGATTTATGTACTAAATATTTACTTATGTTTAACTGCATATAAGCTGTTCGATTAAATGTCTCAAAGAATTTTTTTTTTTTATGTTAGTTTTAGTTGTTGAATTCGAATTCATATGGTTTTTCTTCAAACATTTAGTGTTTCATTATGAAGAACGACTACAGAAACATCTTCACAAGATTGAGAAATCATTTTGGTTTAATGATTACCTTATTTTGCAAAGCAGTTTATTGCTGAATCAATGCAAAGTTTATGTATTTTTTTTTGTATCTTCTTGTATTTGTCCCTGATGATATAACTCTACTATTTAAATCGTTTTGTATGCTGGAACTTGGAATGCATATACAATGTTTGATAAATGTCTTAAACAAATATGGTCACTGACATTATAATTCTGAAACAGGAAGATCGTTGTTGGGAGCCAAGAAAAACAAGGGTTTTCTATTGGAAGAATTCACACAGTCTCGCCTAATCTGGGTGAAGCATATTTCTTGAGAATTTTTTTAAATAAAGTCAAAGGGCCGAAATCATTTGAAGATATTCGCAAGGTTAATGGACAAGTCTATCCTACTTTTAGAGATGCATGTTATGCGCCTGGACTTTTAAAAGATGATAGAGAATATATTGATGCCATCGAGGAAGCAAGTCACTCAGAATTTGGTTATTATTTACGGTTTCTATTTGCAACTATGCTAAAGTCTAATAGTTTGTCTAATGCCTGGGAAAATACTTGGCAATACTTATCTGATGGAATTCTCTACAATCAACGAATAAGATTAAAGACTCCAGGTATTATTATTTTTTCCATTATTTACATTAGACACGTTATTTATATATTTTTCATATGAATAATTATACAATTATTTTTAAATTAACTTTACTATTGTACAGGTTTATCACTTAATGATGATCATATTAAAAACTTCACGCTATATGAGATTGAAAAAATTCTACTCCAAAATAGTTCAAGTCTAAGAGATTTTGTTGGGATGCCTTACCCTGATCATGATTTGGTATCTTCTACAAACAATCGTTTAATTACTGAGGAGTTAGATTTTGATATAACCATCCTACAAAAAGAAGCTCATCAGCTACTTGAGTCATTAACAGTTGAACAACGCTCAATTTTTGATGAAATCATGACAGCTGTTAAACAGAAAAAAGGAGGAGTGTTTTTTGTTTATGGCTATGGAGGTATTGGTAAAACTTTCCTTTGGAAGACTTTATCTGCATCTTTAAGATCTAAAGGTGATATCGTCCTAAATGTTGCTTCAAGTGGTATTGCTTCGTTGTTACTAACAGGAGGTAGAACAGCACACTCACGCTTTATAATTCCTCTAAATCTTACAGAGGATTCTTTTTGTTCTTTTGGGAAAAACAGTGATGTAGCCGAATTGTTAAGAAAAACATCATTGATTATATGGGACGAGACACCTATGATTCATAAGCATGCATTTGAAGCCTTGGATCGTTCTATGAAAGATATATTCACTTGTGATCTTCGTACCAACTCAAAGTTGCCGTTTGGAGGAAAAACAATTGTTTTTGGAGGAGATTTTAGACAAATTCTACCTGTTATTCCTAACGGAAGCAGGCAAGAGATTGTTAATGCTTCATTATGTTCCTCTTACATTTGGTCAAATTGCAAAGTGTTAACATTGACAAAAAACATGAGGTTAAGTGTTCTCGCATCCAATATTCAAGAAACGACAACTTTTGCAAAATGGATTTTGGATATAGGAGAAGGAAAGGTTGGTGGTTTAAATGATGGAGAGACAACTATTGATATTCCTAATGATCTTCTCATTGTTGATTCTACTGATCCTATTGGTTCATTAATTGAATTTGTCTATCCTTCTATCGTTGAAAATGCCAAGAATCCGATTTATTTTCAAGAAAGAGCAATCATTGCACCGAAGAATGAAGTCGTTCAAGAGATTAACGAGCGTTTATTAAAATTATTTCCGGGAGCCCAACAGGAGTATTTAAGTCCAGATAGTCTATCACAAGCAGCTTTTGTTCATGATAACATCGATGAAACTTTATACTCCCCTGATGTTCTAAATGGTCTTAGACCTTCAGGTATGCAAATTCATAAGTTCGTATTAAAAGTCGGTGTTCCAGTTATGTTACTAAGAAATATTGATCAAAAATCCGGATTGTACAATGGAACAAGGCTACGGGTTATTGCATTGGGCAAACGTGTTATAGAAGCTGAGATAATATCTGGAAGTAATATCGGAAACCGTACGTTTATTCCAAGAATGTCTTTGACGCCTTCGGATAAAAGGATTCCTTTCATATTTCAAAGACGACAATTCTCGTTGGATGTATGTTTTGCGATGACAATAAATAAAAGTCAAGGACAATCACTATCGAAGGTGGGGTTGTTTTTGAGACAACCAGTATTTACTCATGACCAATTGTATGTTGCATTGTCGAGAGTGAAGAGTAAAGATGGATTAAAAATATTAATTTTAGATAAAGATGGTAAACTTACCAATAAGACATCTAATGTTGTATTCAAAGAAGTCTTTGGAAATTTGTAATTCATAAAAATAAATCTCAATATTTCGATGTTTGTTTTTATTATCTTACCTACTTATTCATCATTTTGTTTTTTATATTTAGCAATTTTTATTTAAATAATGTTTAATGTTTATAACATTATTGTCATCATCATTTTATAAATACGTACGTTTTTATTTTACTTATTTATACTTCTAAATAGTTAATTTATTGTTTAGATATTTTTGTCTTTATGTTAAATTAATACTACAAAACATGTAATGTTTAACAAAATATATAAATTTTTTTAAAAAAAAAACTCGTGTATTACACGGGTCTCACACCTAGTATCGTATAAAACAAAACTGAACTTTTGCAATTTTTAACAGAAAAACAATCAAAAATCTGATGGCCAAGTTAACCAAAAGATGGACCAGCCAACCCAACACATTAATGCAGGATATAACGGCCCAACCAGACCATTGTATTTGTATATTTGTCTTCGTGTCCCTTCTTTTTGCATAACACCAACTATAAATAAGAATAGTTACATAAATCGTCCATATAGTTTGGTCCAATCTGTAAGTTTCATCCCTATAAAGAAATTTTCACAAATCCCCTCCCTGTGGTTTGATTCTATCATATTTAATAATGACAACGACACTAAATCAAAAAAATCGTTTCACTACAAAGTCATATATTTAAATCTCTTTCCATTAATAACAAAATAGCATGTTCTATTCTATATTGACTGCATAAAATTTTCCAATGATAACTAAATGATACAATCATGCACCACATACTTAATCATGAGTAAAAGAATTTTCATTAATAAAAAAATGTTTTCTGGCAAACACAAAACTTTACTACACCTTCCCATTCCATCATCATCAAGTTAGTAATGGATTTAGATTGATGACAAGTACACAACTTTAACTAACCTGATCTTTTTGGTAGCATTACATTCATCATACAACACAATCATCTTTCTTCTTCAGTTCTTTCTCATAATGCAAGCAGCCTCACTTCATGATTCACACTTGAATTGGGTCAATCATCAATCATCATGTAGGAAATGAATCTGAATCAAAGTAGAAAATAAAAAGTTATAAGAGTTGTAACAAATGAAGAATTAATAACACAATAAAAACAACGATTCTGATGTTTAATTACCTTATTCAAGCACAGGGGCAAAGTCTCCTTGTATACTGATGAGATCCATCACAAGAAAGCAATGAAGGTCTTCGTGTGTATAAACACGCACCAGGATTCAAATCTCTAGGGGCATCTTCAACAACTTCAGCAGGTTGATCAGCTCCTATACTTGCAAGACATGATCCTCTACATTTCATATATTTTTGCATAATTTCACATTGATTAATAAGCGCGAATTTGCTCCCAACACACGATTGCCCTACTGATTTGCAAACGGAATCACACGATTCCCCTTGTTTTCCAACAATAACATTAATCCCAAGCAGCCGGACTTCAATCTGGGAATCAGTGATTCCGACCGAATTGTTTGATGGTGGGGCAAAACAATGATGGAATTCACTCAGATACGCGTTTTCATGAACGACACTTTCAGAATTATGACGACACCTTCCGGCACAGTAATCGAAAAGAGTTGAATAAGTCCCTGAAGTTATTGGTTTGGCGATTTTGACCCTTGTTGCTTGATCGATTTGTGTTCTTTGAGGATTTAGGCAGCAAGAAACACAGTATTCGTAGGAGTTGCAGCATTGTGAAACAAGATTGCAGCCTTGGCAACTGTATTGATCTCTTTTTAGACGACAGCAGTGTGATTTTGGATCTAGTGATAGGGCATCACATACGTAACCTGTATGATCGGTTATTAAATATCTTCCTTGAACTGTTGTTCTGCAGATTTGGGTTTCTAGGAAACTGGTGTCTTTTCTAATGGCAAATGCCCTTGATGCGAACAAGAAGATGAGAAGTTGGAGATATTTGAAGTTGAGAATTAAGTAGGGTGTCGCCATTTTCAACTTGAAATCTATGTGATGTTCAAACTCGATCCCGCTCGCTTAAAGTCCAGATGAAGATCCTGTATACCACATGCATCGCACAAAGTTATGAATTATGATCATTTGAACCGAATGATCCATCTAGAACAGCAATTCATTCTCGAGTAACGTTAAGCTGCGACTACGACTAGAACTAATAAGTAGAAACACAAGGCTACCATTAATTTCTATGGTCATCCTTCCATCGAAAGGAAGAAGTAGATCCGTCAACAGGAATTTACGAAGAAAATTCATACACGCCGATCATAAGAATTCATAAGTTGTAGCAAAACCTAATAAACAAATCACTCTATGAGTACCTACGGTAAATCCAGAGAGCGTTGAACCATAATAAATCGACAGAATTGAAAATTTTATCCACATTTTCGTGCCAAATCGTCATGAAAATCCGAAATTACAGGAACTATTATGATTGGAGTCGAAATGAATCCATTCTTCGAGTAAATCACGAGAATACAAAATGAAAATGAATTCGTAATTACCTCGGATGTCAATAACCCTAATTCCGTAGTGATAAATCTTGGGAATGTAGAGCTAAATCGGTCTTGATCAAAAGCGATTGAGGGTTACTGAGAACGATTTGGGCGTAAAACGGGAATGGACAAGTTGTTCCCTACTCAAAAGCAATTAATACGGCGAACGTAACGACAATGCGTATCAGAGCACAAAAAATGTTGGTTTAGTTCCAGCAAAAATTTCGGAACACGTTATTAATGAATTATGTGATTATTTTTGGGTTTCGATTTTTATATAATGCTAATCCAAAAATCAGGTATCCCACAATAGCGAATTAGCGATACTCGGTGGCGGATTCGAAATCTATTTGTTGTATTTATTGAACGTTTCATTTGTTTTAGACAATCAATATATTTTGGATAAGAAAATTAAGTTGTGGAATTAGATCATAAACAATCAAATTCATAATGTTTTAAAATTAATCAAATCATCGGCAACAAATAAATCAAAAGTAATAATTAAATAAATTATTTGCATATAATTAAATCTAAAGTTACAAGGTCTTTGATTTCCTAAAATCTATATTTTTAATAATCTTCATTAATCTTTCGATCCAATTACATATTAGTAACCTCAAATCAGTTAGAATGAAATTGGATGATGGAAATAATCAAATTTCAATTTCAAACTCTCAAAAACATTTTCAAAACCATTGTACTTATAAATTATATAGGAATAAGAAGCAGTGAAGTAATCATTTCAAAATCAACAAAAATGCAATACATATGTTTCTAGATTTTCAACCAAAGTTCTTCACATTCCAAAACAAGTACCGTTAGGGTCCCGATTTTTAGTGATATAAACAAGGTAGTAACATCATACCCAAAACCAGTTTAAAGGCTTGATTACAAATACCAGCATTTTGGAGACACATGGCATCCATATGAAACCATGGAATGAGTTTGCCTTCAAATTTTCCTAAATTTTGGATGAGTGCACGCCTTAACTAATGAGTTAAAGGGTTGTTTTTCTTCTTTTTTTTTTTGATTATTGAAGTTAATGTGTTAAGCATTTAATCTCGATATTTATATATGGTTGGTTCTTTTTACTTAATTTGTATATAACAACTTAATGGGTTAAGCAAAAAAATTCTAGCTTAATGTATTAAGTACTAACTTTTTGCCTATTTTTATTTCTTCTTTTTTTCATCTCAAATCCTCTCACCTTAAAAGTTATGGATGTTGTCAAGAATAGTTATATGAAATTTGTTTTTCTAGAACACAAGGGTAAAATGATCATTGGAAAATGATTTATAAGTCCAACGAATTTAAAAAACCCAAATTATATTTTGTTTGTTCAAGAAATTCCAACAAGTTTAACTTTTTTTTCCCAAAAAAACCTCAACAAACTTACATTTTTGTTCTATTCGTATTATGGTCAACCAGTTAACGAAAATCAAAAGGAATGACATGACTTAAGATGTGGAATTAAATATTGGAAAAATGACTTGTAAGAGTAACAAAGTTTCGAAACCGTTCAAAAAACTAAATCATGTTTTGTTTGTTAGAAAAACCTAACGAATTTAACCTTTTATTTTAAAAAAAACCCAACAAACGTACATTTTTGTTCAATTCTCATTTGAGGCAACCAGATTCATTAGGTATACAATTAGTTTGCAAATGACATGACATTATATTTAATGACACGAAATAAACACATTAGAATTGTCCTTTATATTGATTTAGGGATTCGAGAAGAGAAAAATGAACGGCATCTGTATTCGATCTCTTGTAATGGCTACTTCTTCTTCCTGTCAATCGTTGATGTCCAACTCAAGATCTACAAAGAAGATATTTGATTATGCAAACCCTTGTGGATGTGGACACCCTTTCAGATTTAAACATCTAGAACGGAGTATTATCCAAATAAAAAGTTCAAGGCTTATTCGAACAGATGGGTAAGTGTAATTGAAAGCTTTATCATGTCCATCTTCTATCCATTTGTTTGGTTCCTTCAAAAACAAGAACTTATTAAGATAATCAACCAAACCAAATAGATAGAAGATGGACATGATAAAGCTTGCAATTACACTTAACCATCTGTTTGAACAAGCCTTGAACTTTTGCTTTGGATGATCATTTGTTCTATATGTCCAAATCTGAGAAGGGCGTCTACATCCACAAGGGTTTACATCATCAAATATCTTCTTTACAGATCTTGAGTTTGACATCAACGACTGAGAGGAAGTATCCATTACAAGAGATCGAATACAGATGTCGTTCGTTTTTCCCTTCTCCAAGCCCTAAATCGATATATAAAAGGTACTTCTAATATGTTTATTCCATGTTATTAAATATAATGACATGCTATCTTCCAACTAAATGTATACCTAATGAATATGGTTGCCTCTAATGAGAATTGAACAAAAACATGGGGTTTTTTTGAACAGACAAAACATGATTGAGGTTTTTTAAACGGTTTCGAAACTTCGTTGGTTTTACAAGTCATTTTTCCAATATTTGATTTCACATCATAAGTAATGTCATTCGTTGACTTTCATTAGCCGGTTGATCCTACTGAGAATTGAACAAAAGTGTAAGCTCATTGGATTTTACTGAACAGACAAAACATAATTAAGGTTTTTTGAATGGTTTGAAAACTTTGTTGGGCTTATAAGTCATTTTCTCAATCATTATTTAGTTTCATTCAAGTGATCTATTTGTGTTGCAAACTTTTTTCCACACTCACAAGATTAGTTATTTTGCCATTGCTTTACAATGGAGACAAATAGCAATTCATTAGTTATAACGATCCAACGCAATGACGTATTTGACTTTTATATAGGATTGTTTAAAATCCATGATAGTTTATCCCACGAGTGCAATTGTGTGGCATGATAAAATCTTTGTGCCTTCACTCACTAAATTGTCTTCTTGAAACTTTGGATTTTTCAAACTGTAGAGTGTAAAAGTCTCACGATTTCCAAATATATAGAGAATCACACCACTAATGAATCATAATGTCGAAACTTGCTCATTTTATCCATTCCTCCTTAAACTGGAATCATAAGTTTTTGCCTCACAATGATTACAAATGATTTGATTGTTCCGTGTTAGTCTATATATTATTAGTCCGCTTGTTTATGGGCCCTTTTGTCTTTAGCCCATTAGGGTTTCTGTCTAGCTAGTATTTATATCTGCTTTATTCTTTGTAGTCTTTATGCTTTTCTTTGAAAACCTTTGTGATTTCTCTTTGTTATAATCATATGACAATGTTATCATGGTATCAGAGCAGAGGCTCGATACGTTGTTAGAAGTCTTTGTAGCAGTCTTTGTAGGGTTACTGTAGCATGTCGTTTTCGTTTATTTTCACTGGTATTCATTTTTTTTGATGTGTTGATTCGTTGTTACTGTTGATTTGTTGCTGCTGTTGGTTCGTTCTTGTTGTTGGTTCATAATTGTTGTTGATTCGTTATCAAGTGATTGCTTTCGATGGTTTGTTACTCTTTTCATTCTCAGATTGTTATATTGTCATTGTGGTTATTCATTCACTATCAACATGAATGGAAAGGATGATTCCCTTCAGTCAATCAGTACTCGTTTGGATGGAAAGAATTATACGTATTCGAGTTACATTATGAAGAACTTCCTTCGTGGGAAGAATATGTGGGGCTATGTCACTGGAACTAAAGCCAAACCCTCAGTGCCTCAAACTGAGAATTATTATATGTTGCTTGATGCTTGGGAGACTGATAACTCCGAGGTTATTACTTGGATCAATAACTCTGTTACTCAGTCCATTGGTATGCAGTTGGCTAAGTATGACACATCAAAGGAAGTTTGGAATCACTTGGAGAGACTGTATACTCAGTCAAATTTTGCTAAACAATACCAGTTGGAATATGATATTTGTGCCCTTCAACAGAATGACTAGGGCATTCAAGATTTCTATGCTGCTATGTCTGATCTTTGGGATCAATTGGCTCTTACTGAATCTAAAGAGTTAAAAGATTTTGAGCCTTACATTGCTAGGAGGGAAGAACAACGCTTGGTTCAGTTCTTGATGGCCTTGCGTTCTGATTTAAAAGCTCTTCGTGGAACAATTCTTCATCGCTCTCCTCTTCCTTCAGTTGATTCAGTTGTCCATGAGTTAATTGCATAAGAGACTTGTATCAAGTCTCATGCAGATAAAGGGTTTAAAGCAACCTCTATTCCTACTCCCGCTCCTGCTGTGCTTGTTGTCTCCTCTAGTCAGTCTCGACAAACTTCAAGAGTCGCTTATGATGAGTGTGCATTTTGCAAACAGAAGAATCATTGGAAAGCTTAGTGTCCATTGTTAGTCAACAAGGGTAAATATGATCAACCTCAGTCAGGGCAACAAAATAGGTCTGGTCAATAAAAGTTTCAGTCTCGTTCCTCTGGTACTCCTCCATGGACCCCTCATCCTCCACAGTTTGTTGTTGCTGCAGTTCCACCAGTTGACACAGAATCTGTTGGACA